TTAAATCGTTATTGACGTAAAATTGACGTAATATAATATATTTATTAAAGTTTATGAAATTCATCATCAAATATAATTATTTTTGATATTAAATGTACTGTTTGTAATAAGATACAACTCAGTATTATGATATATTATAACTAACTCTAAAACCTGTTGTTTATAACGCAGTGGCAACCCTGCGTAAAGGTTAGGAACGCGCGCAAATCGAGCGACACCCGCAAACGTCGTCGTATCGCGGATCAATAAACCTCATTGCTGTTAACCTTCTTAATAAATTACCCATTAAATAGGGTAACGTATCTAATTGTTTTACTTTGAAATGGTCGAGAACGGTATTAGAACACAATGCTAGTTAGAGAACTGTCTTCTTCGGTTTTCTTTACGCACTTTCTTCTTATATTATTGCAACTCGTTCGTTTGTTGCATTAAAAAGGAACGCTAAAGATTGCTAATGTGTCATCCCTGGAAACAAAAACATGTCTATTAGGGTTCACAATTTAACAAATGAATGTAGCCGCTTATGTTCCGCTGTTTGTTCGCTCCACTTTTGACTGCGTAAATCAGATACGCAACGTATATCAGCGTGGTCAGGGTGACAGGCGGCGCGGCAGGCGGCGCGGCGAGCGGCGATTCGGGCGGTGAGCGACGGGCACCGGGCGTGCTGAGTTATTATATGACGGCCGACTGTTTTATCACTACGCCAGCACTTGTAGAAATGTAACAGCTCGTTAATTTGACTTTCTATTTTAGCTATCAACAGTGATATTTTATTTACGAGCAGTCGCATGATTATATCTAATCATAAGTGAATTATACACAATGAAATACAAGATATTTATTACTATGTTTACGGTAACTCTAAAATATACATAATATCGAACTTATTTATTATATAATTCTATTATAATTGAACTAATTTTCAACTCCTTTTTATTGCTCAAAGAATACCTTTTATTACGCCAAAAGTGCTTTATCGATAATATCAAATGACTAACTAATTTCATTTTCATTTTCGAAGACATTTCCAATTTGCTGGTTTTGCATTGAAAGAGTCATCAAACTTCCCGCAATGTTCCCTATTCCAATAAAATTCCCTCATAGCATCGGCTTCTAAGAACTATATAACATCAATCCATGACGCAAGTGTCGGGGAATTCCGCTGATGCATCTCGTCTGGGCGCCGCCGCGAGCTGGCGACCTTCGCTTAGATGTGCAAATAGCCCGCCTGCGTAGGCATAGCCCCCACAATGGTTTAGACAATGATTCTAGGTCACGGTTATTGCAACACATCAAAATCGCAACACAGTCCTCGCGGAATAAAAATAAAAACACTTAATTAGTAGCCTATATGTTCTTCTAGACTATGGTCTACATCTGTGCCAAATTACATGAAGATCCGTTGAGCCGTTCCGGAGATACCTTCAAACATCCATCCATTTAAATTCGCTTTATAATATTAGTAAGACTAAATAATTTCAAAAGATTTTAGTACCAATTAACACAGTATTTCAACTTACTATAAACTACTTGTGTTTCTGAATACCCTTAAATACTAAATGTAAGAAACTAACATGTTGCTGTCTGTTCAACTATTTCAAAACTCTTAAAAATACATAAACTAAATACTTTCGTCTGCCACCTAATTAAATTTTATTACCATATATCCTCAGTTTAAACTCCTTGCAGCTAATGAGTACTAAAAACAACTTCGTAAAAATTAACATTTCTACTATTTCCAGTCACAAACTAAGGCCTAGCACACATTACGACAATTTGCATCTGAAGCGGGCAATGCAACGCTCAAATAACCATCTGACGCACTGGATAAGGGTGCGCGCTTAGTGCATAAGAGAGCGGAAACTGTTTTGTTTTATTATAAATTTCCCGATATTACGAAGTCGATTCTGGAATATAAATATTTTAAAAAAGTTTTTATTCATTTTCACTTCTTTCATTCAACAAAATGTCATTCAATATTTCTAAATGTAAATTAATAAAATAATATTTGAAACTAAAATCTCATGTTTTATTGATAATTTATTATCTAGATAAATTTATAATTACTTTCTGGAAAGTTAAATAGCTCGTCTAGTGGTACGCATGGTTTATTAGCGCCAACAAGTACCAACATAACCATAACCATAAAGATGGGAAGATATTACTCTAGATAAAAATATAAACAAAATAGGCCTAGTTCATTTTACACTATAACTAAATGTTGTCTAACAGTAGTAGAGCCCGCTTTAACACCTTCGCACGAATTGGCCCGGCTCGCCCGGTGAAATACCACGACCACACAGAAGACAGGCGTGAAGCGGAAGCTATTCCGCGTTTCGTCTGATGAGTGTGCGTCCTAATTTACTCCAATTTCCCTTCCCACCCTTTTTCTTTTAAGGAAAGGATGGGAAGTGGAAATGGACTTTCCGGATGAGAGGATGCATGGAAAGGGAAAATATTTTCTTTCTGTGCATCCTCTCCTCCGTCGAATCAAGGTAGGCAACGCATATGCAATTGCGTATGTCTATGGGCAACGGTCACTTCGCTATTTCAGCGATTTCAGGTGGCCGCTCGCTCATTTGCCACCTTATGATATAAAAAAAAATGATTACAAGGAAACTATTCCAACCGTCGAACTAGATCTAAAGCACATAAAACATGGTTTGTGGTTAAAGATAAAAGAGTTTTGTTTAATCACTTAATATATTTGTGTAACCATAAAACGCTCCTACGTACTCTCTGCTTACTTCTAAGATAACTGTATAACGGTTACATAAAACGAGCAGTTATAAATAGAGGTTTGCATATTTAATTTAACAGCTAACAACGCCCGAGTGCCGATAAACAATGATTAGCACCAGCAACGCTAAAGATAGCGAAGCGCAGGGACCTGCCCAAGATTTAAGGAACCCTCTTTGGGACTGAGATACCACACTATAGTCTGAGGAACCCGCTCTGGACTAAAGAACCATCTTATCTGTACACCATAATTCATTGTGTGATAAAGTATAAATATTCAATTTTTAATTCGCTAAATCACATATTAATCTTCCCATTTCCGATCTTATCTTAATTTACTTTGAGGTCAATTGTACTTTTAATGGACTATTGTTTTATAGTAGAATTTTTTATACTCAAGATTATAATATAATTAATGATATTGTATTATAAATGCACGTGCCTTTTGACTTTAACAAATAGTTATAGTACCGTTTGAATGTGTTGCGTGGTATTCTCAGCGGCATCGCCCGGGCCATAAACACGTCGTCTGCAACATGCCCGACTCCCTCTGAAATAGGAATACAACTGTTAGAAATTCCTACCGTTCACTACCATTGAATTGCTACCTACGTTTATCCCGCTACATCGGGAATTATAGGAGTTAAGTGACCACGCCACGGGACATGGGAACCATTGCGTAATCTTCTGAATTATTATGCGGCCCGCACCAATTGTACTGTCCCCATGTAATTCCGCACCGATGTTTGACTACATTGCTCGCTACAATCTGTATGTGATCAACTATTGTATATGTTTAACATATTGCGTGCATTGTATGCTGATATGTCGCTTTCGATTTCCGATTTTTCTTACAAGTATGGCGAAGTCATTAATGACATTGAGCTACTTGCGACCAGTTGTCAAATTAGACCATTTTCGGGGACAGCGAAAGTCTTTATAAATCTCGTTATCTTCGAAATGTCTCATTGTCGAAAGTCGATCGATAAATTTTGATTAAACGTTCGGACGGTGCGTTCGTTAATTTAAATTGATTAAATCGACCGGGTCCGGCTCCGCGGTTTATTTTCACTTTTTTTTTAATTACCAGTGGCTTCTGTCATGTCTCTTGTCATACCAAATCCAGACTCAGAAGTCTCCATTGCAATAATTTGTTGGAAAATAAACTTCAAAGGTCAGCCACAATATAAGTTATTAACCGTTGACCTGAATTACATTACTACGACATATTCAACTCAATTAAAATTGAACCGAGGAAACGCGTAAATGTATGTCGATTATTTATTGTAGTAATCTGAACGAATTTAAATGTGTCGGCGTCAAAAGAATTCAAATCAGTGTACAGTTATCTTGAGAACGTACTCTGCCATGATAGGGGAGTCAGGTGTATGATTACGGCTAGGAGAGCGACCGCCCCGTGCGGTCTAACTGTAGCCATTTGCATACCGCTAGGATAAGAGCCGGCGCGCGCTGATAAACGCTCAATTATACCGCGCGATGAAACCAGAGTCGGCGCGGGTCAAGTGCACGAGGACGGAGCTTCAAGGTCAGTCCCGCGATCATTGTATTGTGATCTTGTTTGCGGAAAAATTCCAAGGTCGCTAGTATGCCACACGCTTCACCTGCCTCAGGATCAAATGACGTTAACTTCACAGCTATAAGAACCCTATTTTCATCCTAGTTTGATTTAAACATTAAATTATAAAGTCTTATTCGAGTTTTCTTAAAGAAGGCCAAAGTAATTACTAGTGTCATTGTGAAGTATCGAGATTATCTGTAGATCGCGCTGGGTGTGCGGCGGCGTATTAGCGAGACGTTTGAGTAACCGTGCGGGACCCTGCGCTCGTCCGTCATGTCGCTAGATGTTCGCCTGGAAGCTATTTCTAGCCGACAACAGTAACCGCACGCATATGTTTGCAGCACCGCCTGCGGTTTCGCAACGTTCACCAACTTGGAAATATCATTGGCCATAACTCTAAATTAACACATTACTGGCAGAACATTTCTCAAAATTATCCTAAGGCCCGAGAACTGCACGCTCGTTTAATTGCGCCATTAGTATTATAACTTGAACTATTTTAATACGCCTTCATTTAGTTTTTATAATGATTGATGCAGGTTATTTGTCCTGGTGTTGCAAATTTTACTCTCCTGACAACTGACGAAATGTATGACAAAATGACAAACGAAATCTTTATAATCTTCTCCGTTCAATTTCATCATGAAAGTGAGTGTTAACAATTTCCCTATCTTACTTTCAGCCAGACACAGTCCCGCAGGCGAGCGTGGACATGACGTCCGTGCTGGAAGTGAGCGAGGCAGACGGTGTGACGGGGCACGCGCACAGCCTGGCCATCACCGCCCCCGACCGCGTCACCTTCGTCAAAGGCACCAGCCGCGAAGAGGCGCGCTGGTGGGCCGACATACTCAGCATGTACCCCAGGAGTAAGGTAAGATACAAAGTAAGCAATTATCCAAACAATTGCAATCAGGCAATTATCAAAAGCGTTCGCAGGAACTAAATTTAATGTAAGAAGAATAGCGGCTACATACACAATAAAATGAGACAAAATAAAATTGCCTCAAACGAGCACAAACATAATACGATTAGTATAACTGTAAGAAGGAATCATGTTACAAATTATTCGTGCAATTTGAATAACTCCCTGCATAATGAGTCTCGCTGCAGCCGCGCATGAGTTCACAAGTGAAACGCTCAATCTCGTATCATTAAACGGGCTGTTATTATTGAGTCGTGTAGTTGCGGCATTAATTCATCGAGCGGCTCTCATGCATGCCCTCGTTGCGGTCAGTAAGGAAACGTCCGCGTTGCCGAGCCCGAAATACAGTGTTTACATGTCTAAACGCCCGACAAGCTATTTAATGAGATGTGGAGACTTCCCGAAGTGCGCTTGCGCATTTTCCTTATTGCTATTCTGCGGCGTACACATATAGACTGCACGGTTGATGACCCGAGTCGATGTTTTGTTATTATAATTTAAATGAAAACAGCATAGAAGCTAAATATATTTTTTATTCGTTTCCTTGCCAGTGCTTAAGACTTCTTTGATGTATGGAAGTATTTATCATCTTATCCATTTTATTTTTAAATCACAATGACATCTTCGCAACGTAGCTTCCGATGTATAGCGTATTGTTTTAAATTCAACACATATAGTGGTATACATAACGCGCTGACTCGTCATGCACCTGAGCCATGTATAGAGATAGACAAGGACGCAGTCGGCGTCACGCAGGCGAGCGCATTGTACCGGCTAGAGTTACAGCTTGCTTATCGGGTTACGAAGCGGCCGTGCCACGCTCCACGCAGTTGACGGATGGACAGGTGCGAACAGTAATTGGAACAAAACTCCCATTTTGTCACCGTTTTTGCAATTATATAAATAATTCAATTTTTTATTCAGTGGTTTAGAGAAAGAGTTGGCTAAATTTATAACAATTTATTTCATTGCCAATATTTTTTATTAAGATTTTTGTAGAAGACTTTGCCTGCATCATTTGGTTTCGAAACGAATAATAACCAAGAAAATTAATCCATTTTAATAGGTTCCTACATATTAATGTTTATTGAAATTAAATTTCTTGAATATTTCTTCCTAAAATAGTATTAAAAATTTAACCATTAGGCTTTGGACTTGGACTTTCAAACGAGCAATCTAGGAGATGTTATTAAACGAATGTTGAATATTGCGCTTCAATTTATCCAGATCCGATTCTGAACAATCTAATTCACCAATTGAGGATAATGGTTAGTTGATCAAGTTCAGTTAATTGTTTCGGCGGCTTTTGTTACGATTAACCTAATTGGAGAAAATAGATCATATTCATCACGACAATTTAAGAACTGCTTGCTTGGTGACCTAAAAAACGAGCAAAATCTTATAGTGAAATTAAAACTATATATATATTTGAATGAATAGTGGTAGAGCCCGCTTCAATATCTTGGCACGAATTGTCCCACAGAAGACAGGAGTCAAGTGGAAGCAATTCCGCGTTTCGTCTGATGAGTGTGCGTCTCGGAGGCCTATTTTGTCCTCTTTCCCTTTCCACCCTTTTTCTTATAAGGAAGCATGGGAAGTGGAAGTGGACTTTCCGATTGAGCATGCATGGAAAGGGAAAATATTTTCTTTCTGTGCATCTTCTCCTCCGTCGATTAAAGGTAGGCAACGCATATGCAATTGCCTATGTCTATGGGCAACGATCAGTTCGCTATTTCAGCGATTTCAAGTGGCCACTTGCTCGTTTGTCACCTTATGATATAAAAAAATGGATAAGAAATATCTCATTCTAATTTACTGTGAATTTCATTATACTTTAAGATTGTCGCTTAAAACGTTGATGGATTGCTTCCCATCTAAGATACTTGGACGAAGTGATATGTTTAGAAAAAAATCAAAACTTCATCCTCCATGCGAGAAAAAGTATCACTATACGTCGCCATTTTAAATTTTAATGCCACCAAGTGTCAGTCTTCTATACTAATACAAATGTGAGGTTTTTTCCTGGTATCATCAGCGTTTATATCTCGGATGGCAAAGTAAATAACTAAGTGGTAGAGACATAGTTCAAAGATTTATATTTTCATTCCATGACTTTTAAACCGTCTCTACTTCGTTCAAGTAAATAACTTATTTTAGTACAAGTTGGGACTTTGTTTTATACGAAGGTTATTAAATCTAAGTTAATAGTAAACTGATCGTCTCATAATTGCTTGGTAATCCTGCATTGCGACTTTCCATTCAGCATTATGTTTGCATTGAGCTATTGCACACACTGCGTGTCACACATCAAACTGGTTCTTATCGCATACATCAATGATGTCGTCGTAAATGTCTGCAGCAAATAATAAGAAAATAATTACCCATCTACACTTTCTATCATTACGCGTTTCAAGTAACTGATAGTGATGTGATTTAGCTTTCTTTAGTAATTTTAAACAAACATTTTAAGCTAAGATTTAATGGGCATTTTTTTTCTAAGTTCTTTTTTTATAAAATTATATTTTGTATAACTTATTGTCGTCTTTAAATTATTTACGTCATTTTATACATTTTAGACGATTCCACTTTACATTATAGAATGCATTTATTCTTAATTTTATATGCAACTGGCAAGAGACTTGCATCGAGTAAACGGTCCTTTAAACTGTATTGCCCAGTAGAGTAGTAGATTCAACTTTTATTAGCAGAACACAAGTACGTATATAAATATTTAACTTATTATAATAACGCTCAGAATACCTAATTAAAAGTGACCTAGTAAAAACGATTCCATTATTGGAATGGAATTCAAAGCAAAGGAAATATGGGAAAAGAAATATACAGGATGATTTTTTTTGTGCGTTGCGTAAAGTTTTTATAGAACATGCGGAAATATTATGGTACGTCACATTCTATACGACTCGATTTCCTTACATGGATGATGAGGAAATGTGATAGAAATTCTCTAGCAATTAGCGCTACGTCAGATTTAGCTTCGCGAGTTAATTAAAATTCTTCATTTGTTCCTTAATGAAGTTACAAGGTTTAGATATGATCTAATTTTATTAATAATTTATCTTAAACGTTGCCATTTGGGAGTGTTTTGTTTCTTTGTGTTTGAGTTGAGCAATTTTATTTATTGTATCATAAAACTGCGTAGTTTAATGATTTTTCTATATTCGGCGTCTAACTCGCAATTTCTAATTCAACATGGCCGCCAAATACCGCTTCGCCATCAAAATAATGTAACAGGACGATGAAGATGCAATTACTTATATTGCACATCATAAAAAGCAAATTTTGCATCGACTTTTGGCATATAAGAGGTCATCGCACTATGAGGTATCCAATCAAATCTATGTTAGATATAGTACCATTCAAACTTAAAGGCGGCTCGCAATTTCAATTAAGATATTGCGCAAAACACAATTTAAGGCATCGGCGGACGTAAGAGCGAGCTGAACACAAGCCAGTGTAAAATTTGAATCTTATAATAGTAACGGTGAGGCGGTAGTACAGTTCGATATTGTTTTATGTTTAGCTCGATTAATTTCATATCGCCGGCGCTGGCGCTGGCTCGGTGCGGTCACGTACCACCTGTAAATCTGGCCATCTTATAATCACCAACTCGTTTCATTAGCGTCTGTGCTAACAGCCTTAATAATATGCGCCTGAGATACAATTGTTTTTAACTTTAGCGCTGACTTAATCTCCGTTTTTGAGTTAATTAAAATACAATCAGCCTGAAATGTTAAAGAATACGTTGACATCTGATCTTGTTACAAATTCTGTACATTTTGTTTCTATGAATACTTACTAAAAATACGTTGATATATCACCACCGGAAAAATCCGCCATATTGCAGTTTCAGGCCATCTTGGGTCATTTAAACTATGAGTCAGTCACTTGGACACATAATTAAAACATATTTCATTGTAGAGGTGAGAGTTTCGAAGATATTTTTCGTGGAAGTGAGAGTTCTTTCTACTTGAATATGTGTTCGCGTCAGGTGTGGCGCGGACATTATAAAGTGCGGGATGTGACTCATTGATTGTCGTTTGTTATATTTTATGATTCACGAATCCACGAATTATTTTGAAAATCATCGGTATCAGGCAACGTTGGGAGTTTAAAGCTATGTCTCTGAATTGATTTTGCTTTTAAGAATGTATGCACTGAAACTTTTCTAGTGTCAAATGACAATATTTTATTAAAGTTTTTTTTTTAATGTTTTTGTAAAGTTTAACGAGTTATTTCTACTTCTTCTTAAAGAAATATAGGAGTCTTCTTACAGAAATCAATAGGGTGGAATTTCTTCGTATTAACAATGCGGCGAGCCTCTAAATGCGATGTGGCAGCAACGTCAATTAATCCATTAGGGTCGGCAGTATCGACAAATATCGTACGACGGCGCACGTTAACAAGCTATGTGCTTTCGAACAATTAAACGCGTGGGTTTCTAATCGCATTTTCACATCGTTACTTCTATCAATACTGTCTGTAACTTATATTGAACTTTATGGTATACGGAATAAAGTATATATTTATGTGTATTGGTTGTAGAGTTCATGCCTACATTAGCGATATCTGAATATTAAAATCGGTGAGTGTATAATTACGTTGTAAGCACGTGTCTTAGATCGGTGATGTGTCTGATGTTTTGTAATGTTCGAGATTCTCAGACATTGATACGATGAAAGAAAACAAGATGGTCAACTTACAAGATTAATCGTGCATCACATGACTAGATTTGAAGTGTAAAAATTGCTAAAATATAAGTCAGTGTACATCAAACTACTTGCATGTCACTAACTTCCTTATTAAATTTGTTTTTGTATTGTTTTGTCCTCAGGGTCGACACAAACGCAACGCCACCTTTCCCGGTGGTCAGACCGGCAGCCTTCTACAATCTTCCACAACGAGAAGTACGTATCTTTCAATATTTTTCTAAACATACATTAATATTATTCATATGAATTAGACATCACTGCATTAATTCCTTTAGAGACGCGTCAAACAGTAGACGCGCTTAGTCTTTATCATCTCAACGAAATATGACATAGTGGTTGTCGTGATGACGTCATCGTTATGGTTCTATATCAGCGTCGGTTGCAGAGTACTCCGCGGACGCGTCTACACTTCGCGACGCAGCGGAGGGTTGCGGGGCGGGCGTGACAAGGACGCGGTGCTGCGCCGGCGCCACAACATGGCCCGGGCCGCGCGTGCAGCCGCCGCAGCCAGAAATCGCCAGCCTCGCGCCACCACCCAACATCGACACCAAAGGTAACCAATTACCATCCATCATTGTATTCGTACCTCGTACCTTTTAATCTAAGTGACGTCTAAAAATGTTTTAATTTCGAGATACTCTTTTATTTCCTTAATTAAGGAACTCGGTCCACAATTAAAAAGAGCAAATGGCGTTAATAATTTCTATATAAAGTTCAAACTGAATACAGTTAATTCTAGAATACCTGGGAACTGTACCACCTACATAGCTCCGTAGCCAGCGAGGCTAAGCCGTGACGTCACCCCATACATCAAACGAGCATGCATCTGATATGCAGTGCTTTCGACACGCGAAACCTTCCCACATCACACGGCGCGGCGCGGCGTGGCGGTGGCGCCCAGGCGAAATTTGCATTTCAAATTTTAACCCATAACTTATTTCTATAACTACAACTAACTTGATTGAATGATACGCAAACTAATTTATATCCTAACTACATAGTTACACGATTGTAAATCGCACTAACGATCTCAAGATGCCATCAAGAATGACGTCATCTATTCTATAAGTCTTAAGAGGATATGTAGTCGTCAACCTTGGTCCACATTCGCGCTGAGGAGAAACCATACAATCTGCCATGACTGTTCATTAAACTATGTACCCGCCTAATGTACCTAAAGGGCTCTAACTACACGCTCTATGACTGCCTAATAAACGCTTACTTTTAAATTATTACCGATTTAAACGAAGTTAAATTGTAAAATAATCCATCCAAACAAAATCAAAAGACGTAGATAAATATAAGTAGAGCTGAATAGGATAATGAAATCGGGGGTAAAAACTAGTCAATATAGATTTAAAAAAGAAATTTACTCGAGCTCTGTACATACTTTGTACAAAAAAAGTTATAATCAGACTTGTTTTATAATTACCATTACAAAAAAGGTTAAAAAGGCTAAATGCGTGATGATTCTAACCTTAAGTTTATTTCAATGTAATAACTTTACCATAAATATAACTAATAAGAGACAAATTGGTTCCACTCGTACGGATGCAATATAATAAAATAGCCGTGATATCGACAGTCGCAAAGGAAACGCGGAGGAATGTTCACGGCCTTGTGATGTAGGTCGCCTTAGGCTTGATTAATCACTCCCCATTTACGTGCGACCTCCGCCGGCTGAGTGGTCCGCTAGCTCCGACGGGTCGGGGTTCAAGCCCGCCGTGTAATACGATTTGCCCGTCGCCCGTCAGTCGGCGCGTGCCCGACGATTTTTCCGCATGGCCCGCGACTTCATTACAACCGCACGAACACCCTTCAATACCACGATCCATTGATCATTTTAACGCCACTTAGATCTTTCGAGACGCATTAACATAATTAATATTGTTGCTAACGGCTAATCAATAAGTTAAAGTTCGATAAACTTCAAGTTAGCTTGGAACTGGTTAAGCACGAATGCGTCGGGTAAAGTTCCGTTTCGCGGAATTACAACATACTTATATACATGGCTGAATTTGACGCAACTTACAAAATATATATATATTTATGAGCATCAAGACATCGACCTTTACAATTACCAAAACACAGATCAGTATCATGTGAGTGATATAGAAGTGGTAAGTAATACATCCGTGAACACGAATGAATCCATTAGTACAAGTGTATGTTAGCCGCAATCACTTCCAGTAAAAACCCATAATTTTGTGAATATCGTGACTCGGCAGCTACTCAGATGTATAGTTGTAATTGTGCATCACATTACGCGGTTCTCGATACATCTATGCCTAGTGTATAAAAACAGCGCGCAATGTATATTGTACATTGCGATAAACCACAGCAAGCGATACATCAATAATGATCGCTCCACTTATAACGTACTCGTGAACTTTTCACATAACACAAATGACTAGACATACGTCTAGTTTGACTTGTGTATAAATTTTTATTATAAAAGAAAATAGTTACAGTTTAATGATTTAAATATAACATATACACAGTAGAGGAGGTGATTTTTGGATTTACACGGGGAACTCCTTATGTTTGATTGCCACGTCCAGATTTTTTTACTTAGTATTTTGACCGGCTCTCTTAAAAGCGCAGCTCTATTTGGATCATTTTATTTGTGGTACTCGATTGGGTGCAATGTTCCCCTTTTATGTCTAACTGTCGCGCTCAAGTAAATCCAAGTTTAACCTTCCCTACTACAATACCGTTCTTTTAAAAATGAGTATCTTAAAATAGAGTAACAGGTGCATCAGAATGTGATTCGTATGATATATAAGGTAATCATCGCTGTACAGATCTCATCGGTTTATCATAAAATTGAATCAGCGGTTGCCGATGAGTTGCTGTGTGTTGCAGTGAGTTGCACCGCTACCCGCAATCTTCCTGCGCGCTATCAATTGCAGTCTGCGCCACGCCTGCTTTAAGATTTAGTGTAACCTTTGCCTAATAATTGCAAATGCACAATGCATTTTGTAATTTTATGGAAGATTTATTAAGCCGATATTTTATCAACAAGTTTATATTTAGTCACTGGCGATTGAGTTAATATAGTTGGAATTCTACTTGCTTATAATCTTATATATAAAATTCTCGTGTCACAATTTTCTTTCCATACTCCTCCGAAACGGCTTGACCGATTCTCATGAAATTTTTAAAGCATATTGAGTAGGTCTGAGAATAGGCCAACATCTATTTTTAATCCCGCGCGGACGGAGTCGCGGGCGACAGCTAGTATCTTATAAATATCACAACAATATGATTTAAGCTATTCAAAGAAATTCGTTATGTAGACGTAGATTTTAGTAACGTAATGTGTAAGATTTCGTTATTTTGTAAACCAGAAAATTTGCTTTTTTTAAAATAAGTAAAGATAGTTGTATTTTTACAATACAACTAGAAGATTGTTGATGTGATATCTTATCAAGATTATCTTAACACTCTGTGCAGTGTTACAGCAAAAACTGTTGCTTACTAATCGATTACTTATTCGATTAATTTATTGTGAGGTATTCAATATATCTTTGATATTTGTTATAAACAGCCAAATTATACGTTAAATCTTTCAAAATTTATTACCGCTACAGCCCTCCGACTATCGGCCTTATATTTATCCGCTGTCAGAACTGAACGTTTGAAATATCGTTGACTTTCATTTTACGCCAACTTTTATTTTACTTATCGCCATATAAATTACCTTCTGACTTTAGAAATACAAAACAGAATTCGAAAATAACAGATATTACTTGCGAAAGTAGGAATAAAAATTTGCTTTTCTTTCTTTTTATAGTTTGTACAATGTAACAGTAATTATAAAAAGTTTTGCCTGTATTAAATAGAAATTGATTGAATGTGCGAATTTATCTCAGCTCAGGGTCTAAAATGTTTTAATAATAAGATATGAATGTTTATATAATTACTTACTTTCAAGATTTCGCTTAAGAATTTTAATAGATCCGTACGTAATCTGTTTCCTATAAAAAAACTTAAGTAATTAAGTTTGCGATGAGGAAAGATCCCACTTCAAAGACTGCGTTCCAAATTGTTATGAATAATGATTCTAGTTCATTGACCTCTGGTTATTGATGATGATGACGTCATAGGTTATTGCACCTTTATAAGATTCCATTTGTTAGCACAAATGCTTTCAACCTTCTTTACATCGAAACTGAATGGGTTTCAAATAGTTTCACTAAACTTCTAAAACAGTAATTGCAATGTGCCATCTGCGATAAGCTCCTTACTGTGAAATTGGATTAAATTACTGTTTTGTAGAAATAGTTAAATTATTACAAACTAATTAGCAATAGACAAATATTTATTCATTCACTTACACTCAAAGTGATAAAGTGACAACAAACATCTGGATTAAACAGAGAAATAACGGAAGACGAAGAGGAGAAAGGCTTTTTAACTATTGTAACCATGGAAATTTGCGTCTTAGTTAATAATAGCAGTTGTTATGGTGTTCAGTGTCAAAAGATGTCGCAAATGCACTCGCATGCTACTCTCAGTGGGTGTCAATGATTTACAACTGTCATAGCACAGCCATAAGTTAAATTATTTATATTCCATTGGTATTTTTTTATATGTAAATCTTAGTTCTCTCGGCCGCGACATCTCAGTGAACTAGGGTTTTTTTTATTTTATTAATTTCATTTTAACTGATCCTCAATAGCAGTTTATTTACTACGGGTTATTAATTATAGGCATTGTCATGGAGCTGGCCATTTTATGTAAGCCATAAAATTGCAAACATAATAAATCATACACGCCTTTTAATTTCCAATAGCGAAAGTATTGTGCAGTATTAGTTTAAAGATATTTACAATCATGTGATCAAAAGTGAAATCTTTGATAAGATTTTAAAGCTTTGAACTAAATCTTAGTGTATTATTTTACAGTTTGAGGTTGCACCTAGCAAAAAAAAATTGAATCCCATCACCAAACATTGTCTACTCTTATCGCTTTAGTCAACTTTGAAATAAATGAGTCCCATTGCAATTCGAGGTCTTAAGTTTAAGTAAATTTAAACTCAGTGAAACTAAATTTAAATCATTGTGAAATCGCGCCTACACATTTAATTTCACCTCGCGTTAATATTTCATAAAATAACGACAGCTGCATTATTTCTAGAGAGCAATAAATGCCCATGTTTTAATTATGAACGAGGAATGAATATGCAAATAGTATAATTATTTTATTGGACGTGTAAGAATCGTGGTTTTCATGTTAAAGCGCTAGGTATGTGTTCACAGGAATGTGCATAAATTGGAACGGTGTTTACGCGACGACAGCGAATGGTCATTGCCACAGATAATTTATTTGTGCAGATTTAAAAATCATTTTCTTCCTCTAACATGTTAATAACCGTGGGCTTCTGACACCAAAATCTCTATATTATATACATTGTCATCTAACGGGGATTTTTGTATTAGAAGCCCACGGTAGGAAAGTCAAATTCGAATTTTGTTTACCTTTGTCTTGTCGCACTTTCGTGTTATTCAAATTACTAAACAGTTTCAAACGAATAGGTTTTACTCTATTCCCATTTGGTTTAAACTCTATACCCATGTTTTTCATGAGGTTTACTGGTCGTATATAAACCTAAATAAGTCATTTAATCCGACTGCAAGTATATTAAAAAAGAAAATGATAAGTTATTATCAATAAAGTAACGACTCAACAAGTTCGATGTATAACAGGTTCGTTAATATTATTGTATGGTGTGCGGAGATGTGCGCTCTGATACGATGATACTGAATCGTAAATAATCGAGGAAAAGGGCGCGCACCATTTTTATGAGGGTTTTGCTCTTGTTGGCGACCTTCAACACGCGATGTCGAGGTTTACGAGCTTTGCATGATAATATTTTGGAGTTTACGTCAAAAGGCAAAACTGATTCAAGTTTATGTACGATTTTAACGTAATTTTATTGTTTTATTTTGCAATTCGATTACGAAAAGTTTTTATATT